AGTCTTCGGGGTAGGCCAATCCCTAATAGCACGAACCTTCTCTTCATCAACATGAATACCCTCTGCACTGACAACAAAGCCTAGAAACACGAGGCTACTGGTCATGAAGTTGCACTTCTTCAAATTAATGTACAACTTATTCTCCTACAAAACTGTTAGTACCTCCCTCAAGTGGTCCAGATGTGCAGCCCCACTCTGGCTATAAATCAGGATATCATCAAAGTAAACTACGACGAACTTGCCGATAAAGGGTTTTAATACCTGATTCATCAATCGCATGAAAGTGCTAGGGGCATTAGAAAGACCAAAAGGCATGACTAACCACTCGTACATGCCTTCTTTTGTCTTGAAAGCAGTCTTCCACTCATCACCTTCCCTAATCCGAATCTGATGATAGCCGCTCTTGAGATATATTTTGGAGAACACCTTTGAACCAGATAACATGTCTAGCATGTCTTCCAAGCGTGGAATAGGAAATCTGTACTTCACCGTAATCTTGTTGATAGCCCTACTGTCCACACACATACGCCACTCTCCGTTCTTCTTTGGGACTAGTAGTGCTGGCACTGCACACGGACTCATGCTAGGTCGTATAAGGCCCTTCTGGATGAGATCATCCACCTGCTTCTGCAAAATCTCTCCTTCCTTCGGACTCATCCTATAGTGTGGCAGATTTGGTAGTCGGGATCCAGGGATAAGGTCGATCTGATGTTGAACGTCCCTAAGCATGGGTAATTCAGAAGGAAGATCATCAGGCATAACTGCATCAAACTGTTGTAAGAGGGTCTGTACTTCATGTGGAGTTTCGACAGTGGTAGACTCCTCTTTTCCCGAAACTACAAGGGCATAAATCTCATCAGATTGCTTCACATCTTTCATAAAGTCTTCATTGTCAACGACCAAGAAATTCTTCTTTTCAGCCACAATGGTTTTGACAGGTCCCTTCTCGGTTAGAGGCTTGAGCACAATTCGGCGACCATCCTTCTTAAAGATATAGACGTTATCTTTCCCTCTATGCGTGGCATCAACATCAAACTACCAAGGTCTGCCTAACAACATGTGACATGCATCCATCTCTACTACATCGCACATTGCCTCATCCACATAAGTTCGGCCAATGGAAAAGGATACCCGACACACTTCATCAACCTGTACGTCATTACCCTTGCGAATCCAGCCGATCTTGTAAGGAGCGGGATGCTTTTCCGTCTTCAGCCCTAACTTCTCCACCATGTGCCGAGATACAATATTCTCGCTGCTCCCACTATCAATGATGACATCGCAGATCTTCTGTTGCACCGTACATCTCGTTCGAAAGATATTATGCCTCTGTGGTGGTTCTTCTGCCTTTGGAGCCAACAATAGTCGCCGCACAACACATGAGAGTTGTTCCCCATCATCAGCATCCAACCCATCATCATAGTCTTCAACATTGTCTCGGTCTGTATCCTCATCTTCATGATCCACCATGTTCACAGTACCTCTTTTAGGGCACTGATTGGAACGATGACCAGGCTGTCCGCATCTATAACACTTGATCGGGTCAGGTTTGGCATAAGGGTTCGTTGGAGTAGGCTTCTTCGCTGTAGTCGTCGCTGGCCCCTTGCCCTTTTCTGTCGTAGAATCTTGATCAGGAACAGTTTGAGACTGTTTATTCCCACCACGATTAAAGTTCGTGCGCGAACCGTCAGAAGCTGCCCACGATCCTTTACTATTTCGTCCAAGCTGTCGCTCCACCTTCTCGGCTAGGCTAACCGTGTCTGCTAATGTATAGGTCTGCTGCAAAGATACACGATCCTGAATCGCTATCCTTAATCCCCCAATGTATCGAGACATCTATTGTGCCTCGCTCTCGTGTAAATTATTGTGGGATGACAGTCGATAGAACTCCTGCGTATACTCATCCACGGATCTTCCACCTTGCCTACAATTCTGATACTGCCCAAATAAAACTTGTTCATAATCACTTGGTAAGAAACGGGCTCTCAGTAGCTTCTTCATCTTTTCCCACCTATCGACCTTCGGCTTTCCTTGACGAGATCGATTCAGACAAACAGACTCCCACCAAGCCGAAGCTCCACCTTTGAGTCTGTAAGCCACCAATTTAACCTTACGTTCTTCAGGGATCTCCATATACTCAAAGAACCTCTCTACTTCTGCAATCCAGTCGAGAAACTCTTCAATATGAAGTTGCCCGTTGAAAGATGGCAGATCCATCTTCATCTTGAAACCTCCAGCGTCATAATTATCCCTTTGTCGTCGGTCTCTGCGATAAACACCGCGGCGTGGGGGTGCATAGTGATCTTCCTCGCTGTCGGAATCTTCATACGGAGTCGGTTCACGTCGTTGGCGACCATCAACGCGATTTCGATCTCCTGCAATCTCCAGACGCTCTACTGCCACTGCTATTCGCTCCACGACAGTCTTCATCTGATTGACATCGGCCTTTAGCACGTCGAACTCAGTTCGAGAGATAGGGGCTTCATCACCTGCCATCGGATCGGAGGAATAAGGCTCTGATACCAATTGACGCAGCGCGGAAGTTGTAACCTCGGAATCCACCAAGGGTGTTCTCTGAATCCACAAAGAACGATCTTCGAATCCACGAAGAGCTTCGAATCCACGAAGAAATATTGAGGAAAAACAAAATTTTATTAATCAAAAGTTATGCCTCTAAGGGCTTACAAGACTCTTCTTAAATAGAAAAAGAAACAAGACTCCTACAAGGACTCTAATTCCTACAAGGACTCTCAACTTACCAAAAATGGTAAAGAATTCCTAAAACATTAAAACTCCTAAAAAGACTCCTTATGAATAGGAAAGTCCACCGGTCAAATCTGAGATCAAATCGGATTTGTTTCCTAAACAAAACAGACTCCTAAAATATTACTAAAAATAATAAAAACAAACAAAAATGCAAATATCTCTCAAGTTTGGATGGCTCCGTCTCGTCGAGATAGTCGATTTTCATATATAATTCGTCCAATTCCGACGTACGGTTTGAAAGTTACGGCCGTTTCTTCGAAACATGTTATTTTCTTCGACCAGGCCCGCATTTGGGCTTGCGACTGTCCCACTTTGATTTATATTTAGCATTAGACTGCTCTATCTTTTCCTTCACCTCCTGCTGGATAGCACGTATCTTTTCAACCATATGATCTGCAGGAACACTCTGTCCAGGAAGTTTAGGCAGCGGGGCTAGATCAAGATAGTGATTCGGAAGCCTTCCATACACAATTGTAAAGGGTGCCTTGCATGTAGTCCGACTCTCCATACAGTTGTAGGCAAATTCAGCATGTGCCAAAGCAAGATCCCACTGTTTTGGTCATTCGCCAGAAATAGATCTAAGAAGATTGCCGAGGGTGCGATTGACCACTTCAGTTTGGCCATCCGTTTGGGGGTGATAGGCAGTACTGAACTTGAGAGAAGTGTTGAATCTCTGCCACAAAGTCTTCCAAAAGTGTGATAAGAACTTGGAATCTCTATCGGATGTGATGGACTTTGGCACTCCATGAAGACGAACTATCTCCCGAAAGAAAAGATTGGCAATGTTGCTCGCATCCGCAGTCTTCTTGCATGGAATAAAGTGCGCCATCTTTGAAAACCTGTCAACCACAACAAAAATAGAATCCATACCTCGTTGGGTTCTAGGCAGTCCCAACACAAAGTCCATGGAAATATCATGCCACGGCGCATCAGGAACTGGTAAGGGTGTATACAATCCTGTATTCTGAGACTGTCCCTTAGCAACTTGACAAATTGGACAACGCCGCACATATCTTTCTGCTCCCTTCTTTAACTGAGGCCAATAATATCGTTCTTCAATGGCTGCAATTGTCTTATCACGTCCCAAATGTCCTCCTAGTCCGCCAGCATGAAGGTCTCGAAATATTTGCTCTCTTAGCGAACTCTGGGGTATGCACAATTGATCGCCATGAAATAGATAACCATCCTGAATATGAAAGCCTTTAACTGATCTATTTTGAAGACAGTCATTCCAAATCTTCTTAAAATCGTCATCCTCCGCATAAAGCTCCTTAAGATACTCAAACGCAATCACTTCAGCCTTCAAAGTTACCAACAATCCAGCCCTCCTACTGAGTGCATCTGCAACCTTATTCTGCTGCCCGGATTTATGCTTCAAAACGAAGGTGAAACGCTGCAGATATGCAATCCAACGAGCATGCATACGGTTGATGGTAGTCTGACTATTAAGGGTCTTCAAGGCCTGATGATCAGTGTGAAGCAAAAACTCTCTCGAGATCAAATAGTGCTCCCAATGCTTCAAAGACTGAACTATGGCATATAATTCTAGCTCATATGTGGTCCACTTCTGTCGAGCTTCGCTTAGTTTCTCACTGTAAAAGGCAACTGGACGCCCTTCCTGAGATAAAACACCACCAATTCCTATGATGGACGCATCACAATCAACTTCAAAGACTTTTTGAAAATCTGGAAGTGCAAGCACAGGTGCGGTGGACAACTTCTCCTTGATCAGTGCAAAGCTACGATCTGCTTCTTCCCCCCAATTGAACTTTCCTTTCTTCATGCATTCAGTTATAGGTGCTACAATGCTGCTGAAATTTCTTACAAATCTCCTATAGAATGTTGCTAGGCCATGAAAACTACGAACTTCGCTGACAGTCTTCGGGGTAGGCCAATCTCTAATGGCACGAACCTTCTCTTCATCAACATGAATACCCTCTGCACTGACAACAAAGCCTAGAAACACGAGGCTACTGGTCATGAAGTTGCACTTCTTCAAATTAATGTACAACTTATTCTCCTGCAAAACTGTTAGTACCTCCCTCAAGTGGTCCAGATGTGCAGCCCCACTCTGGCTATAAATCAGGATATCATCAAAGTAAACTACGACGAACTTGCCGATAAAGGGTTTTAATACCTGATTCATCAATCGCATGAAAGTGCTAGGGGCATTAGAAAGACCAAAAGGCATGACTAACCACTCGTACAGGCCTTCTTTTGTCTTGAAAGCAGTCTTCCACTCATCTCCTTCCCTAATCCGAATCTGATGATAGCCGCTCTTGAGATCTATCTTGGAGAACACCTTTGAACCAGATAACATGTCTAGCATGTCTTCCAAGCGTGGAATAGGAAATCTGTACTTCACCGTAATCTTGTTGATAGCCCTACTGTCCACACACATACGCCACTCTCCGTTCTTCTTTGGGACTAGTAGTGCTGGCACTGCACACGGACTCATGCTAGGTCGTATAAGGCCCTTCTGGATGAGATCATCCACCTGCTTCTGCAAAATCTCTCCTTCCTTCGGACTCATCCTATAGTGTGGCAGATTTGGTAGTCGGGATCCAGGGATAAGGTCGATCTGATGTTGAACGTCCCTAAGCATGGGTAATTCAGAAGGAAGATCATCAGGCATAACTGCATCAAACTGTTGTAAGAGGGTCTGTACTTCATGTGGAGTTTCGACAGTGGTAGACTCCTCTTTTCCCGAAACTACAAGGGCATAAATCTCATCAGATTACTTCACATCTTTCATAAAGTCTTCATTGTCAACGACCAAGAAATTCTTCTTTTCAGCCACAATGGTTTTGACAGGTCCCTTCTCGGTTAGAGGCTTGAGCACAATTCGGCGACCATCCTTCTTAAAGATGTAGACGTTATCTTTCCCTCTATGCGTGGCATCAACATCAAACTGCCAAGGTCTGCCTAACAACATGTGACATGCATCCATCTCTACTACATCGCACATTGCCTCATCCACATAAGTTCGGCCAATGGAAAAGGATACCCGACACACTTCATCAACCTGTACGTCATTACCCTTGCGAATCCAGCCGATCTTGTAAGGAGCGGGATGCTTTTCCGTCTTCAGCCCTAACTTCTCCACCATGCGCCGAGATACAATATTTTCGCTGCTCCCACTATCAATGATGACATCGTAGATCTTCTGTTGCACCGTACATCTCGTTCGAAAGATATTATGCCTCTGTGGTGGTTCTTCTGCCTTTGGAGCCAACAATAGTCGCCGCACAACACATGAGAGTTGTTCCCCATCATCAGCATCCAACCCATCATCATAGTCTTCAACATTGTCTCGGTCTGTATCCTCATCTTCATGATCCACCATGTTCACAGTACCTCTTTTAGGGCACTGATTGGAACGATGACCAGGCTGTCCGCATCTATAACACTTGATCGGGTCAAGTTTGGCATAAGGGTTCGTTGGAGTAGGCTTCTTCGCTGTAGTCGTCGCTGGCCCCTTGCCCTTTTCTGTCGTAGAATCTTGATCAGGAACAGTTTGAGACTGTTTATTCCCACCACGATTAAAGTTCGTGCGCGAACCGTCAGAAGCTGCCCACGATCCTTTACTATTTCGTCCAAGCTGTCGCTCCACCTTCTCGGCTAGGCTAACCGTGTCTGCTAATGTATAGGTCTGCTGCAAAGATACACGATCCTGAATCGCTATCCTTAATCCCCCAATGTATCGAGACATCTGCTGCGCCTCGCTCTCGTGTAAATTGTTGCGGGATGACAGTCGATAGAACTCCTGCGTATACTCATCCACGGATCTTCCACCTTGCCTACAATTCTGATACTGCCCAAATAAAACTTGTTCATAATCACTTGGTAAGAAATGGGCTCCCAGTAGCTTCTTCATCTTTTCCCACCTATCGACCTTCGGCTTTCCTTGACGAGATCGATTCAGACAAACAGACTCCCACCAAGCCGAAGCTCCACCTTTGAGTCTGTAAGCCACCAATTTAACCTTACGTTCTTCAGGGATCTCCATATACTCAAAGAACCTCTCTACTTCTGCAATCCAATCGAGAAACTCTTCAATATGAAGTTGCCCATTGAAAGATGGCAGATCCATCTTCATCTTGAAACCTCCAGCGTCATAATTATCCCTTTGTCGTCGGTCTCTGCGATAAACACCGCGGCGTGGGGGTGCATAGTGATCTTCCTCGCTGTCGGAATCTTCATACGGAGTCGGTTCACGTCGTTGGCGACCATCAACGCGATTTCGATCTCCTGCAATCTCCAGATGCTCTACTGCCACTGCTATTCGCTCCACGACAGTCTTCATCTGATTGACATCGGCCTTTAGCACGTCGAACTCAGTTCGAGAGATAGGGGCTTCATCACCTGCCATCGGATCGGATGAATAAGGCTCTGATACCAATTGACACAGCGCGGAAGTTGTAACCTCGGAATCCACCAAGGGTGTTCTCTGAATCCACAAAGAACGATCTTCGAATCCACGAAGAGCTTCGAATCCACGAAGAAATATTGAGGAAAAACGAAATTTTATTAATCAAAAGTTATGCCTCTAGGGCTTACAAGACTCTTCTTAAATAGAAAAAGAAACAAGACTCCTACAAGGACTCTAATTCCTACAAGGACTCTCAACTTACCAAAAATGGTAAAGAATTCCTAAAACATTAAAACTCCTAAAAAGACTCCTTATGAATAGGAAAGTCCACCGGTCAAATCATAGATCAAATCGGATTTGTTTCCTAAACAAAACAGACTCCTAAATTATTACTAAAAATAGTAAAAACGGACAAAATTATAATTATCTCTCAAACCGTAAGGAATTTGGAGAACCTGAGAACGCAAACCGAACCCGAAGGGGTTGGGTTGGATGGCTCCGTCTCGTCGAGATAGTCGATTTTCGTATATAATTCGTCCAATTCCGACGTACGGTTTGAAAGTTACGGCCGTTTCTTCGAAACATGTTATTTTCTTCGACCAGGCCCGCATTTGGGCTTGCGATTGTCCCACTTTGACATAAACATGTCTGCTGTGTGTTCTACATCAGTCCCCCCTGCTTGAAAAGAGCTCGACCCCGAGCTTACACTTGCATGAACAGCTGTTTCTGGTGGGTAATACTCAAACAAATCTGCAACATTAAAACTAGGAGAAATACCCAAATCTGTAGGAAGGTCAACCACATAAGCGTTGTCGCTAATCTTCTTCAGTATTTTGCATGGACCATACTTCTTATTCTTCAGCTTGTTGTAAGTACCCACGGGAAAATGTTCTTTTCGCAGAAACACCATCACCATGTCTCCTTCTTCAAACACCTTCCTCCTTCTGTGTTGATCAGCTTCGGCTTTATACTTAGCATTAGACTGCTCTATCTTCTCCTTCACCTCCTGCTGAATACCATATGATCTGCAGCAACACTCTGTCCAGGAAGTTTAGGCAGCGGGGCTAGATCAAGATAGTGATTCGGAAGCCTTCCATACACAATTGTAAAGGGTGCCTTGCATGTAGTCCGACTCTTCATACAGTTGTAGGCAAATTCAGCATGTGCCAAAGCAAGATCCCATTGTTTTGGTCGATCGCCAGAAATAGATCTAAGAAGATTGCCGAGGGTGCGATTGACCACTTCAGTTTGGCCATCCGTTTGGGGGTGATAGGCAGTACTGAACTTGAGAGAAGTGTTGAATCTCTGCCACAAAGTCTTCCAAAAGTGTGATAAGAACTTGGAATCTCTATCGGATGTGATGGACTTTGGCACTCCATGAAGACGAACTATCTCCCGAAAGAAAAGATTGGCAATGTTGCTCGCATCCGCAGTCTTCTTGCATGGAATAAAGTGCGCCATCTTTGAAAACCTGTCAACCACAACAAAAATAGAATTCATACCTCGTTGGGTTCTAGGCAGTCCCAACACAAAGTCCATGGAAATATCATGCCACGGCGCATCAGGAACTGGTAAGGGTGTATACAATCCTGTATTTTGAGACTGTCCCTTAGCAACTTGACAAATTGGACAACGCCGCACATATCTTTCTGCTCCCTTCTTTAACTGAGGCCAATAATATCGTTCTTCAATGGCTGCAATTGTCTTATCACGCTTCAAATGTCCTCCTAGTCCGCCAGCATGAAGGTCTCGAAATATTTGCTCTCTTAGCGAACTCTGGGGTATGCACAATTGATCGCCATGAAATAGATAACCATCCTGAATATGAAAGCCTTTAACTGATCTATTTTGAAGACAGTCATTCCAAATCTTCTTAAAATCGTCATCCTCCGCATAAAGCTCCTTAAGATACTCAAACGCAATCACTTCAGCCTTCAAAGTTACCAACAATCCAGCCCTCCTACTGAGTGCATCTGCAACCTTATTCTGCTGCCCGGATTTATGCTTCAAAACGAAGGTGAAACGCTGCAGATATGCAATCCAACGAGCATGCATACGGTTGATGGTAGTCTGACTATTAAGGGTCTTCAAGGCCTGATGATCAGTGTGAAGCAAAAACTCTCTCGAGATCAAATAGTGCTCCCAATGCTTCAAAGACTGAACTATGGCATATAATTCTAGCTCATATGTGGTCCACTTCTGTCGAGCTTCGCTTAGTTTCTCACTGTAAAAGGCAACTGGACGCCCTTCCTGAGATAAAACACCACCAATTCCTATGATGGACGCATCACAATCAACTTCAAAGACTTTTTGAAAATCTGGAAGTGCAAGCACAGGTGCGGTGGACAACTTCTCCTTGATCAGTGCAAAGCTACGATCTGCTTCTTCCCCCCAATTGAACTTTCCTTTCTTCATGCATTCAGTTATAGGTGCTACAATGCTGCTGAAATTTCTTACAAATCTCCTATAGAATGTTGCTAGGCCATGAAAACTACGAACTTCGCTGACAGTCTTCGGGGTAGGCCAATCTCTAATAGCACGAACCTTCTCTTCATCAACATGAATACCCTCTGCACTAACAACAAAGCCTAGAAACACGAGGCTACTGGTCATGAAGTTGCACTTCTTCAAATTAATGTACAACTTATTCTCCTGCAAAACTGTTAGTACCTCCCTCAAGTGGTCCAGATGTGCAGCCCCACTCTGGCTATAAATCAGGATATCATCAAAGTAAACTACGACGAACTTGCCGATAAAGGGTTTTAATACCTGATTCATCAATCGCATGAAAGTGCTAGGGGCATTAGAAAGACCAAAAGGCATGACTAACCACTCGTACAGGCCTTCTTTTGTCTTGAAAGCAGTCTTCCACTCATCACCTTCCCTAATCCGAATCTGATGATAGCCGCTCTTGAGATCTATCTTGGAGAACACCTTTGAACCAGATAACATGTCTAGCATGTCTTCCAAGCGTGGAATAGGAAATCTGTACTTCACCGTAATCTTGTTGATAGCCCTACTGTCCACACACATACGCCACTCTCCGTTCTTCTTTGGGACTAGTAGTGCTGGCACTGCACACGGACTCATGCTAGGTCGTATAAGGCCCTTCTGGATGAGATCATCCACCTGCTTCTGCAAAATCTCTCCTTCCTTCGGACTCATCCTATAGTGTGGCAGATTTGGTAGTCGGGATCCAGGGATAAGGTCGATCTGATGTTGAACGTCCCTAAGCATGGGTAATTCAGAAGGAAGATCATCAGGCATAACTGCATCAAACTGTTGTAAGAGGGTCTGTACTTCATGTGGAGTTTCGACAGTGGTAGACTCCTCTTTTCCCGAAACTACAAGGGCATAAATCTCATCAGATTACTTCACATCTTTCATAAAGTCTTCATTGTCAACGACCAAGAAATTCTTCTTTTCAGCCACAATGGTTTTGACAGGTCCCTTCTCGGTTAGAGGCTTGAGCACAATTCGGCGACCATCCTTCTTAAAGATGTAGACGTTATCTTTCCCTCTATGCGTGGCATCAACATCAAACTGCCAAGGTCTGCCTAACAACATATGACATGCATCCATCTCTACTACATCGCACAATGCCTCATCCACATAAGTTCGGCCAATGGAAAAGGATACCCGACACACTTCATCAACCTGTACGTCATTACCCTTGCGAATCCAGCCGATCTTGTAAGGAGCGGGATGCTTTTCCGTCTTCAGCCCTAACTTCTCCACCATGCGCCGAGATACAATATTTTCGCTGCTCCCACTATCAATGATGACATCGCAGATCTTCTGTTGCACCGTACATCTCGTTCGAAAGATATTATGCCTCTGTGGTGGTTCTTCTGCCTTTGGAGCCAACAATAGTCGCCGCACAACACATGAGAGTTGTTCCCCATCATCAGCATCCAACCCATCATCATAGTCTTCAACATTGTCTCGGTCTGTATCCTCATCTTCATGATCCACCATGTTCACAGTACCTCTTTTAGGGCACTGATTGGAACGATGACCAGGCTGTCCGCATCTATAACACTTGATCGGGTCAGGTTTGGCATAAGGGTTCGTTGGAGTAGGCTTCTTCGCTGCAGTCGTCGCTGGCCCCTTGCCCTTTTCTGTCGTAGAATCTTGATCAGGAACAGTTTGAGACTGTTTATTCCCACCACGATTAAAGTTCGTGCGCGAACCGTCAGAAGCTGCCCACGATCCTTTACTATTTCGTCCAAGCTGTCGCTCCACCTTCTCGGCTAGGCTAACCGTGTCTGCCAATGTATAGGTCTGCTGCAAAGATACACGATCCTGAATCGCTATCCTTAATCCCCCAATGTATCGAGACATCTATTGTGCCTCGCTCTCGTGTAAATTATTGTGGGATGACAGTCGATAGAACTCCTGCGTATACTCATCCACAGTTCTTCCACCTTGCCTACAATTCTGATACTGCCCAAATAAAACTTGTTCATAATCACTTGGTAAGAAACGGGCTCTCAGTAGCTTCTTCATCTTTTCCCACCTATCGACCTTCGGCTTTCCTTGACGAGATCGATTCAGACAAACAGACTCCCACCAAGCCGAAGCTCCACCTTTGAGTCTGTAGGCCACCAATTTAACCTTACGTTCTTCAGGGATCTCCATATACTCAAAGAACCTCTCTACTTCTGCAATCCAGTCGAGGAACTCTTCAATATGCAGTTGCCCGTTGAAAGATGGCAGATCCATCTTCATCTTGAAACCTCCAGCGTCATAATTATCCCTTTGTCGTCGGTCTCTGCGATAAACACCGCGGCGTGGGGGTGCATAGTGATCTTCCTCGCTGTCGGAATCTTCATACGGAGTCGGTTCACGTCGTTGGCGACCATCAACGCGATTTCGATCTCCTGCAATCTCCAGACGCTCTACTGCCACTGCTATTCGCTCCACGACAGTCTTCATCTGATTGACATCGGCCTTTAGCACGTCGAACTCAGTTCGAGAGATAGGGGCTTCATCACCTG